CATGATTGATTGCACGTATCTTTGACAAGATAACTAAGGTGGTGGAGGCTTAGTATATAGTGGTGCAATGTGTCACGAATAGTGCTGATGGCAAGTCTTTCTTCCAGATATGACATGGTTGAAGTGTTCTGTCAAACAAAATCTATTTGCCATTTCTCTACTGATTCAGGTCTGCTCAAGAGCTTGTGGAGAAGCCATTTTTTGAAACAATAGCGAGAGCATTAAGACCTGGTGGTGTCGTCTGTAATATGGCAGAAAGCTTGTGGCTACATACACATCTTATTCAAGACATGATCTCTATTTGCCGTGATGCTTTCAAGGGTTCTGTCCATTATGCATGGACAAGTGTACCAACATATCCAAGGTAAATGATGTAGCCTTACGGCCTTCATTGACTTATACTGTTCTATTATTTTTGCTGAAATCTTGAACAATAATATAAATGTAGAAGTCTGTCGGTTCTGACTGGTACAATTACTTGAATTGCAGTGGAGTAATTGGATTTCTTCTGTGCTCTACGGAGGGTCCTCCTGTTGATTTCAAGAATCCCATCAATCCTATTGAAAAATTGCAAGCAGCTGGCAAGGATAAAAGAGAACTTAGGTTTTACAATTCAGAGGTAAACTATTCCTCACATCTTAAATTGTTTCAGCTCATTATTTGTTAAAATGCTGTTTCCTTCATATGCTAAATGTTCAAATCATAAAGTTTCTCTAGTTGCGGAAGACAGACCCTTAGAAAACATGAATTTAGCCTTAAGTTGGAGGTGATGTTGAACTTTTAGGCTCTCTTGTCGTTTTCGTTGCTGTAAATCTCTTCTTGTTTGTCAACAGGGTCTCAAATAAGTTCATCTAAATTGTTCAATTCTGGATCATTGTAAATTGGCTTCTTCTGTTTTATAGTGTTTGAGAATCACAAACTAGAATGCAACTCCTTGTAAAACTTTTATTTTCTTGTTTATTTTGCTTAAATTTATGGTTTTGCATATATGATTTATGGAACACCCACTCTGACAGTTGCACTCGGCCGCTTTTGCTCTGCCAACATTTTTTCGGAGAGAAGTGAGCGGACTCGGTGCGTCTCCAACCTGCCCATGACAACTTTTTCTTTGAAAATTGATTTTAGCAATCCTAATATATTTTTCCAGGAAAAAGATTCATGTGAAGTTTAACCCTACATGGATAATAGACTACAGCAAGGTGAGGGCATGAGAAGCTTTCAGGGCTTTGAGGAGGATTTCTATTCTAGCGTGTATTGTTATTTCTTCCAACAATGTTATCCGGTGGATGACCTTTTTAATTTATATTAGATATATATATATATATATATATCATACGATATTGTATTTGTAGGAACGTTCTATAGCTTCTCCCAGTTGTTGTGCTTGTGTGGTACTCTTTTTAATATATATTTTAAATAATTAAATAAATCTTACTGCAGTTATCTGACAATGTGTTACAGTATATGTATCTGATTAAATTGTTGTAAATATGAAAAGAAATAATAGTTCAAAGCAGGATAGCTCTAGGCACAATGCCGCTTGCAGTTTATGTCAGAATTAGTAGCTTTGCTAATTCCTACCATCGGGCTCCTAGCATTTCATAATTTCATGGGCCAGTACCAGCTTTGAAATAATGGGTGCGTTGAAATCTAATGTCTTGATTTGAAACTTGATATTACACCACCACCTAATTGTTGCTTCATGCAGCGTATGCTAGAATGATAACAGCAGAACAAGAAGGGAATCAAATAGGACACAACAGTACAAGACAGCATACAATAATATGTTCAGTAAAATGGGATTGGATGGATTTTAATTCTTTTAAATGTTGGTAATTGATAAACATTGTAATGTACAAGTACTGAAATTTCCTCTTCTAATGTACCATAATTAATTTACTTTTTTCGTTAACACAATAATATTTTCTGTTTGTTTAAATACATTACCTTCACATTAGTTTTTAATTTTCCATAGAATAAACCACTACCCAAAAATGAAATATCAAAATTGAAAAAGACAACAAAGTGCACCCAAGAATGCATTTATTATTTTATAATTGTATTATAAATTTATAACGATCAATCATAATATATTATTATATTACTAATATATTAATAAAATTATAATAAATAAATATTTTTTTTAATTAGTCATGACATATCCTAGAAATTACAGAATAAAAAAAGCTAGATTAGTCTTTTATTATTATTAAAAAAAAATTGACTTATAGTAATTTTAACCCAGCAGATTGTTAATGTTGGTTTACAGTAACGAACTTGCTGCCATGTTTGAAATTGTGGTTTTAGCTTTGGACTTGAGATCTTACTTCAGCCAAGATTAGACATATATTTCGCTGTGGTTTTCATTTTACATAATACTATTATTTTTTGAATATATTTTTATATATATATATATGTGTGTGTGTTTATGAAAATGTGCTTCAAACTTAAATAAATTAGATTTACATATTTTAAAATTAATAACAATAAACTAACTAATAATAATAATTAGTACCTCTATTTTTTTATGAAAAAAATTATATATTTAAATTAAATTATGTTTTTGAGTATATCTTGATTTGAATATTATTTTAATTATATTATAATTGATGTACTTATATCATTCAATCGAGTCATTTATATAATGTTAGGTTTTAATCAATCGTGTGAGTTTTATTGTGCATAAAAGACTATCGGTTTTATTGAATTCGTTTAAAAGTGATCAAGATATTAGGTCTTAATGCATTTGATAAAACATAAATATCTTTTATGTACAGAGACTAAAATTGTTATTTCTACTTTTATAATGAATTAAATTAAAAATAACGAAATTTGACAATATAAAAAATCAGTTATAGTTCTCAAATCTTGCGTGTTGAGTTTATTTTTTTTGTTATCCTATAAGTGAAAATAGAAATTTTTTTTTTATACTATTTCTTACACTATAAGTTCGGATACGCTTTCGATTATAAATATAATCATTTTAATTCAATACAAACATGATTATTTGATTTTATCTTTAATTTATTTTAAAATCTTACGTATAACTGAATTTTTTTAAAAAAAATATCACTTAAACAAAACCGCAATATGGTATTGTATGTATACAAAACTACAAGAGCCGAAGTGTAATATCCACTAATCACGTGATAAAAATTAAAACTTTAAATAAATTATTTTATTTTATTTTTTTCGGAAATTATTATTAAGAATATAGTTAATATTTATTTTAAATTAGAGAAGATAATTACGCTAACAAATCCCTTCTTATCCGGAGGAGAACCAAACCACTCATATAGTCCTGATTTACAAGGCCTTACCACGTGTTGACCTTTACAGAATCTGGCACGCGCTCTCCACACTCTTCGATATCCTCCTTTTCTCTCTCTTTCTCGCGAAAAGTCTCGGCAGCCAAACATCAACAGGAGCTCGTGTTCGGTATCCGGGGAGCTTCTCATCTTCCTTCCTGAAGCTTACGCAAACCGTGCTAAAACGCAGCCTAGCTTTGACTTATCCCTTGGTGAGCTAGTTCTCGTGATTTTTTTCTCGATTTTGTGTACGTAAGATCAGCTTTCTCTGTGAGCCTGTATATAATCTTAGTAGATTAAGATAAATGTTTCTTTTTACTTTTGGATCGTGTTTCTCTCTTTCATTCAATTGCAGAGAGGTTATTGTTGTCGTTAGTTTTGTTGATTATGTAGTTCCTTGATATTTTGTCTTCGGAATTAAGATTTTATCCTTATCTATGGTTTTTGGTTTTCTGCAGATTTCTTCTCTTCCGTACGTATTGCTGGAAGTTCTGTGACTGAGTAGATGAAACTGAGTACGCATTCAGGCTTTGCTGTTCCACATCAATGGGGCATTCCGGACCATGTAATTGACCATTTATTTTATATCGAAAAATCATTTTATGCTTTTCTTTTTCTATCTTTGTGCGTATGAATTCCTGCGTTAGCTCTTTCACTTTTGGGATTAATTAGGATGATACGTAACGCCATAGTCACCTTGTTATTTCGGTAGGGCGCTTCACATTGTTGGAGGAAGTAAGCTGGTTGACTAATTGGTTTCAGATTATAATTCAAATTAACTGACAGGCGGAAACGTGATAATTTGTTTTTACATTATTTTCATGAAAATTCACTGAGAATTTTTTAATTTCAAGAAATGGCCGTAGTAGTCGTATTCTGTAAATTTTCCTTCCCGTGCATGGTTTCATGTTTCTGTCTTATGTTTGCCTCTTGTACTGGTATTCGGTGCTTCTATTACTACCTGGATGGAGTACTAGACATTTTTCACAGTTTTGTATTTAATGTTCTTTTGCCCTGTCTGGGATTCTTTTAAATGGTTTTCTTTTTCCTTTCAGAGTACTCAAGTAGCTGATCTTTTAGAAGTTTCAACATTCAACCTAAGGGGAAAGAGGATTGATTTTCCATGTAGACTTCACATAGGACAACCGACTCAATATGATCCGAGAGCAATTCATAAAAGAAACTTTAGGTCAAACACTTTAGCTTTTGCAAATCGAAAAGATGAAGCTGAAAGAGGCAGTTCAAATACATGCTCTGATCATGTTCTACCTTTAGAATGTAATGGCAGTTCCAACCATCCAGATGTGGAAGTTGATGTGTCCTTGACACAATCACAACCAGACATCTCTGGAAGTGCTGAATACCTGGCAAATGAAGGAAGCCTTTTAGACAAACTGAAGGCCGTACACTTACATGTATTAGCATCAGAACAGTGGAATGCTTCTCGACTCAAATTAAGTCACAGGTTTGTTAGATTTCTAATTTTCTTATTTTATTACCTAAGGCTTCATCGATTCTGTATAGTCTGCTTATTAAACGAGACAGTTGACAGCATATGCTACAATATTCCTATGATTAATGATATTGAAGAATAATTGAGAAGATTCTTATTAATATCCTGTTCTTGAGTCTTATCATTCTCATGTAACCGTATGTTATGTTTTTATCTTTTGTTTTTGTTGTCTTATTAACTGTGCCACACATGGATCTGTAGTCAGTCTCTTATCAGAGATGCTAGTTGATTTATGTTGTGCTTCACTGCTGTTAAAGGATAGGCTTTGCTTGATATTTATATTTGGTAGATGTTCTATTGATTTTGATGATCTGCGTTCATCTGCATGCATGTTAAGAACTGCATATCTTATCAGAAATTCCTGAACTATTTTGATATTTGGAAATGTTTGTGACAAAATTATACTTTGTTGCTCCTGTCCTAGCCCCTAGCCCTTGTAAGTTAAGCTTTCTTCTGCTAGGTCAAGTTAGTTATATCATGAGCTTTCTTCTTATCTTGACCTTTCTGTTACTGCAGAAATTACTTCATGAGTGCTACAAACTTAATTCATCACTTGGCACTGAAATGCCTTGATGTTAAGCAGCTCAAAGAAGATCTTTCTTCTACTGGCCTACTGAATTTGGAGATCATTAATTCAAATGTGCTTGCCAGTCTTAGTGCTGCCATACAACTAGTGGAGAACTTGAATTTGAATCTTCGAACTACTAAAGAGAATATCAGGACAGAGATATGCAGTCACGGAAGTTCAGGTGAACTGAAGACGGGGATATTCACTATAAATGCAACACGTCAGAAGGCTTCATCCAATAGAGAGTTATTACTGGGTTCATTTCGAGATGGCAGAACTACTCACATCATGGTGACAGTTGGCCAAGAAGCTGTGGAAAATGAATCTCATATAACCAATCTCCTAAAGGCTGGGACCTCAATTATTCGAATCAATTGCGCACATGGAAACCCCACTGTGTGGAGTGAAATCATCAGAAGAGTGAAAACAAGTTCTCAGATGCTGGAGATGCCCTGTCGAATTCTCATGGATTTAGCTGGACCAAAACTCCGGACTGGTCACCTAAAGAGTGGCCCATGTGTGATGAAACTATCTCCCAAGAGAGATGCTGCTGGAAATGTGATATTGCCTGCTCAAATTTGGCTCTCTAGCAAAGGAGTGAGTCCTCCTGCTCACTTCTCACCAGATGGAATGTTATTCATAGACAACCAAGAGAATCTCGCTAAACTCGAGATTGGTGATACTGTAAGATTCCACGATGCTAGAGGGAAAAAGAGGAGGCTAAAAATCTCTAAAAAGTTTCATGTATTTACTAGTACTGGGTATGTGGTTGAATGTGATATGACTGCTTACGTGCAGTCCGGAACAGAAATGTATATTAAGAGAAAAAAAGGCAATTTTTTAGTTGGAAGAGTGGTGGATGTCCCTGCAAAGGAGCCATTTGTTAGATTAAGAGTGGGAGACCTGCTAACTATAACACGAGATAGCACATCCACACAAGAAGAATCATTTATGCTCACAAGCGGTGCTCCTAAAGTTACTTGTCCCTCTGGCTATCTATTTGATTCAGTCAAACCTGGAGAAAGCATTGCTTTTGATGATGGAAAGATTTGGGGAATAATCCAAGGAACAAGTATTTCAGAGATTATTGTTTCGATCACCCATGCTGGTCCAAGAGGAACTAAACTTGGATCAGAGAAGTCCCTTAACATCCCAGATAGCAATATTCGATTTCAAGGCCTCACTTCAAAGGACCTAGTAGATCTTGAATTTGTTGCTTCCCATGCTGACATGGTGGGTATTTCCTTCGTTCGAGATGTTTGTGATATTGTTTTGCTTCAACAAGAGCTGGAGAAACGGAGACTTAATAAGCTAGGTATTGTTTTAAAGATTGAAACAAGGAGTGGGTTTGAGAAATTGCCTCAAATGCTCTTAGAGGCAATGAAGTCACCAAATCCTCTTGGAGTTATGATTGCTAGAGGAGATCTCGCAGTGGAGTGTGGGTGGGAAAAGCTAGCCGATATACAGGAAGAGATTCTATCTATCTGTACTGCTGCCCATGTACCAGTTATTTGGGCAACTCAAGTCTTGGAGTCGCTTGTCAAGTCTGGCGTGCCTACAAGAGCTGAAATTACCGATGTTGCCAGTGGAAGGAGGTAAGTTGTCCTTCTGTTTTCATCTGGCCATTATCTTGATTTATTTGTCAAGACTTTCCTAGAGATTACTGGTGAACTACATTGGATACTCTAAATACTAATTCCCTTCTAAATTTCTTTGTTGGTAATTGGAGCCAATTTTCGTTCTAAGACACTGATAATCTATTTATATAAATCGGTAGCATTAGAAAACAAATTGTGGTCGTTTGGGTTCATTTCTCATTCATTTGCTTAGTTCAGGTATCCATAAAGCCATTTTTGTCCAGTTCGATTCATTTCTCATTCACTTTTAGTAAATTTCTGATACTGTCTTGATATTTATAATTACCAGTAACTTTTGCACATTCTATTCCCACCATGAAAATTTTGATGATAGAAATATTAATATGAATATTAAATCGAGCAATTGATTGAAAATGAACT